TGGACTCTCACTGTGAAAAGGATGTGGCAATAGGAGGTGTGGATGGGGGACTTACAGGAATATAGGATACAAATCCATATGGAAAGAAACACCTTCTATTTCCACACCCAGGGAAGCAGAAGTGTTTAGTCCTTTAATGTGTCTTTAGTCATCTATGTGTGACCATTGCTCAGGTGTCTGGTGTACTGCAGGTGTTCAAAACATAATCAAATCCTGGGAAATGAGCTCTCAGGACCATTGTCCACAGTGGGTGTCAGTGGTTGGCAGCCCATCACTAAGAAAGATCTTGTTCAATAGGCTTTGCAATAAAAATGAAATTCAAAATCCCATCCTGTGCTGATGCTTAGCTAAAGCTTCCCTCTCATCCCCTTTTAATGAGTCTGTCACCCAAGTACCTGAGTATCACATTTCCCAACCTTTGTAGGGTTTGAGGACAGTAAACAGAGGCACATGATGGTGAGCAGGCTCCAGCCAGTCCCCCAAACTGTCTCCCCTCTTGGGGCCCCTACTGAGCACACACTGCAGCTGCACATCAGATTATGTGCAAAAGTGTTGGTGGACCAACCCATCTGTTTCATGATTAATCTTTGTTTGGACAAAGACCCTTCCTACCTACAGTCACAGCTTTTGGGGTGGATATTTTGTGGAGATACGAAGCCCACAGAAAGGCAAATATCTGTGTTGGCAGCAGGTGGTGTTAAGAACTGGTGAGACAAGATGTTGCCAAAAGCAAGCATTTCAGATGAGTAGGACTCCAACATTACTAGTTTGTTTGTGTTTTCTAATCATTTGAAATATCTTTAGTTTTGCTCTCTGGTATTTCACATGCTTATGAGTCATGTTTTGAAGCTTCTCCCTGCAGCCATGACATCTAGAAACAATTCTGTTATAAAGTTGTTTTCTTTTTTTTTTTAAAGTTCACATAATCCCAGGACTCAAGGAGATGAACCTCTGGTTAGTGTATCAAGGAGATCAATAAAATGATATGAAACAACCCATTTCCCTCCCTCATAAATCCATCTGCTCTAAAACAGTACAAACTCTGTTTTGCAGAGTTGTTTGACTCTCTCTTGGGGGGATCAGTACACTCTCATCATTCCCTCTTTCTCTGGCAGTAGCTCTCCCCATTGGCTCTCCAACTCTCACAGAGGGTGCTGGGGGAAGGAATCTGTTGTTTCCAGCTTTCCTTCCCTAACACTTGTTCTTTTTATTGCCCCATCTTATTTCTCTGCCCTTCCAGCATGCCTGGAAACAGTGGCCTGCAGAGAAACGACGAGTATTAGGGCACCTGTACCTGTGGGAAGCCTCAGGATGAAGCTGGTAAAGGCAGATGAGGTGACCTTGGGGTGGAGCTGTGTGAGGCCTCACAACGCCACCCCCCACCATCCCTTTCTGTCTGCCATGGGAGCAGAGCGAGTGTGGCAAGCTGGCTCTGGCAGAGAGACCCTTCCTTCTTCCCTTGTCACCTCCTGCAAGCTTTGCCAAAAATCATGGCTTTCCTTTCCAGCCCCAGCCTCTGTTAGCATCAAAACAGGAAAAAAATCTCCCTAAACATATCTCACACATCATCAGTAGAGGGAAACACGATGTGATGGCTTCTGCCAGCAATCTGGGAAATGCTTCCCAGTTCCTGAGCACCTAGAAGAGCATGTGCAGGGGCTGCCGCCAGCTCCCTGCTCCCCGTGGCACGTTCATCGGTCATGCTGTTCATCTTTCATCCAGCAGTGACCATGTTTCTTCCTTTCCTGCAGAGAAAGCTTCCACAAAATCAGGAAGGCAGCAGTACAACTTGGAACCAGGAATACTGTGTATAATCTCTAGCACTGGGGACAGAGAAAATGGGCGAGTAATCACAAAAAGAGAGAGAGAGGGAGGGAGGAATGAGAAATGTGGGAATTCAACACGAGAAGGGGAGCTGTATATCTGGTAATCACTGAATCATATAATTCATTTACTTTTGCATGAATGGTGAGGTTCAGTGACCAATATCCTGCATTCCTGAGGAGATCTTGGCTGCATGGGAATACGGCACAGCAATTTCTGAGAGGGTAAGAAACATAAACAGAGGTTAAAATAAGTTTGATCAATACAACCAACAGAAACTCGATGCGCTATTTCATCTTCCAAGTGCTGCATAAAGCTTTCAATGAGCAGACATTAATGGAGCAGCTCACAAGCTTCTGTAGCACTTTCCTTTGGAGGACTGAAATGCTGGACAAACATGCATTTAATGCTGCAAATGGCCTCGTTTGCTAAACCCTACTATCCACATTTTTTCCAGGTCAAGTAGTTAATTGACTGACTCAAGGTTAGGGCAGAAGCTCAGTGACAGAACCACAGGAGTATCCAGGCAGAATCTGGCACAAGTATTTTCACCAAGAAAAAAATGCTTTGCACCAGGTCTGCATTCCAGCACAAACTGGCAGAAAAAAGATAAACCCAAATGACAAAGATTAGTGACTACGAGCTGAAGCCAGATATTTAAATTAGGAACAGGGCACATTTTGAACTGCAAGAGGTGACAAACCGTTGTACAAACAAGGAAAGTGGCAGATTTTCTATCTTGTATCTTTAAGAAAGTTGTTTTGCTCTCTCATTGAGTTCACATTCTGCCTTATCACACTCTCACACAGACTCTGCTCTTGTTAGTTTCAAAAGGACTCACTTATGGATAGAAGAAGACAGAAATGACTCTTAAATTCCCAGCCCTGCAATGCAATACATGCTGACAGTCTCTAGGCACACCCAAAGCCTTGCTGATCTCAGTGTCGCTCTGAGCAAGGATGGAGTCTGACTGTGCTCATCAAGGTGCATGACTGCAACCTTCAGTGGCATTAAATAACCATAAGCTGCTGCTGCAATGCTGAAAAAGTGTCATCCTGTTTTAAAGCAAAGGCACTTGCCTGCAGCTTTTTAATGACATGGACAATGCTGTGCTATGCATTTTTCTACAGGACTGGGAATTCTTCTTTTGATACTGGCGAGAAAACAAATCTTTGTCAGTACTAAATCTGTCCATTCTACTTCTAATACAGACTTCAGACCCATTCCTATAATTATTTGTACCTATTCACAGCTTTACCCACAGGAATACTCTGAATGACATCACTGAGACCAAGCTCACAGAAGCCTAAACCTAAGGAAACTTGTTTGTAGACCCAGGTTCTAAATCCTGCATTTTCTTCTATCTTTGCATAAAAGAAGCTTAAAAAAAAAGTAATTCTGCCTGTGTACCTAATCCTGGTTGAATATCTGTATATTTGTGAGCCTTGCATGTAGGAGAAGGATCTGTAATCTTTGTATATTTTGAAGAAAGAAATGTAACAAAACAATAGACAGAGGATTTACAGGAAAGGAAGCTGGAATCCTCTGGCAGAAAAACCCTGCAGCAAAAGCCATCATTCCATAGAATGAGGTTAATTAACTGGCAATTATTTCTGAAGTGCATCTGAATCGAATACATCTGCCACAAAGATGTCATTATGAGTGTATCAAGCCACTGCTGGAAGTCAAGACTATTTAACACTCCCACCCTCACCACAACTGTGCTGCTGCCCATGACTGAAACTGCACGTCTCTCATGTTGGAGCCCCTGCAGCCACAATACACACAGGGAAACACACAGGGCTCTTCCTGAAGCCTTGCTGCCACAGCCTGACTGCTGGCCATCACACACATTAAAATACGCCATTCATGCTCCCGGAGGGCTCTTCTGCTGACTTATAATATTGAGAAAGCAGTGAGATTGAATCTTGTGTCTTCCCTCCTCCCCAGCTGAGCTGATTCAATGGAAACAGCCTATGTCTGCCAATAAAGGATCTCAAATAAGAGCAAAATCAGTGCTCTCTGATTTTGTCTGCATTGCTCAAGCAGGCATGCAAGTGATTTTACTGTTGTCCCTGACTCGAGACTTGCAAGAACTGCTCCAAACAGCGGTGAGGATTGAGAACCACTTGTCATTTGTCCTAGACACTTTCCTACTGCTTCCCTGAGGACATGGTCCAACTACATTCTTGTTATGGCCTGCAAAAGAGAGAGGGACAAGGCAGGACACAGACCGCAAGCTGAGATACATGGATGCCATGCATGTGGTGCCTATGGAACAGGGTGCAGCTGAGAGCTGGTACCTGGGCTGAGTCTTCCCTCGAGGTTGCTTGGAACATGATGCACTACTAAGGAACCTACTTCAACACCAGGCTACCTCAGGGCTCTCTGGCACTCGGGGTGACCCCATTTCACAGGATCCAGGATTCACAGTACCAACGGCACCTCAAGGACTCTGTTCTGTTTTGGGCCCCTCACTTTAAAAAGCACATTGAGATGCTGGAGCAGGTCCAGTGAAAACACAACCTATATGGAACAGCTAAGGGAGCTGAGTTTTTTTAGTCTAAGGAGGCTAAAAAGAGACCTCATTGCTCTCTACAACATATGAAAAGAGGTTATAGTGAGGTCGGGGCTGGTCTCTTCTATTGTGCCTGTATTAAGAGAACTAGAGGATATGGCTTTAAGCTGAGACGAGAGATTTTTCCTTCCCTCCACTGTTATGGTGGTCAGGCATTGAGATAAGCTGCCCACAGAGGTGATGGGAGGGTTCCCATCCCTGGGGGTGTTCAAGCAGCATCTGCATCTGGCGCTGCGTGATGTGTCTTAGGGCTTACAGTGGCAATGCTGGGCGGATAAGCGGACTGGACGATCTCACACGTCCCTTCCGACCCTGATGATCCCACGATTATATGATCCTCACAACCCTGCTCCTCTTTCCTCCTCCTCCACACACACACACGCTGGCAGTGGCGGCCAACAGGTGCTTCTTTCTCACACACCTGAAGGCCAGAGGTAGGAAACGAAGACACCAGCATTCCGCAGAAGGAAGGTGTAGGGCCAGACACGCTTCCAGGCGTTCCGGTTCCGCGGCTCTGGCCCGGGCCCTGCCCGGCGCCGCCTGGCGCGGGGGCGGGGCCTGAGCGGCCCGAGCTGTGGCGGCGGAGGGCGGGCGGGAGGGAGGGAGGCGGCCGCTCCCGCTGCAAGATGGCGGCGCAGAGGAGGAGTCTGCTGCAGAGTGTGAGTGGCATCTTCCCCCCCTCCGAGCACACGCGCCCCCCAGGTGGGTGCGAGGGAGTCCCCGGGCCTCCTCCTCACCCGCCCCCCGCGCTGCCGTGTGGGAAGGGGGAGGTTCCCCCGCCGCGGGCGGTGGGTCGCTGCTCTCCCGCCCCCTGTGCCGCCTCAGGGCAGGGGCCGCACTGCGGGGTCCCGCCGTGGCCAGCGGCCCGCACGCTGCCGGACCGGCCGCTCTGCGGCGCACGGTGGGCCACAGGTGGCTGGGGGGCCGTGCCGGTGCTGCGGGCTTCGGGGTGCCCGCTGTGTGAGGGGGCAGCTGGCGCCTGCAGGCCTGGCTGGAGATGGCGGCCCCAGGGATGTCTCTCTCATTGCTGGCTGCAGCATCAGGCCCCAGTCCCTTGTCCTGGTTGAGTAGTCCTGGGGGAATCCAGAGCTTTCCCTGCACTCCCGTGGCAGGGGTGCACGAGGATCTGATTCACCATAGGAATAGCTAAGCTAGTGCTGTGCTGTATGGAGTGCAAAACTTGCGTGCAAATTTCTCATCTGGTTTCTTGTTAACAAGAGCGGGAGTACAGCCAGAGCTCAGCCTCAGTGGGAAGGGACACTTGGTAAGTGATGCTGTTCTGCAGGGCAAAATGTGGAGTTATTGGCTGTGTATTAGTTAGCAAAGGGAGAAGGGTTGAGAAGAGGGTGGGAGTGGACTGGTGACCTGTACTGCACCACGATCTTCACTTCAGCCTGCTTGGGGTTTACATGGTCTCTTTCCTCTTCCTGCCAGGAACAGCAGCCCAGTTGGACAGATGACTTACCGTCCTGCCATCTCTCTGGTGTGGGCTCAGCTCCAAACCGTTGCTACAGTGCAGATGGCAAGGGGACAGAGGGTCACCCCTTGGAAGATAACTGGTTAAAATTCAGGTAGGTGAGTTGCACCTGGGACACTGACTCCTGCTGACACAAGTGCACGTGGAAGAGGTATTTAATTTGTCACACAGGATGTGGAAGAAGAGGGTGGGGCCTGAGCATGCAAGAGGTGTCTTCGGGAACTTGCTACTTACATCTATGTCTTACAGAGATCTGTGACCTCTTTGCTTCTGCCCTCTTGACAGGAGTGAGAACAACTGCTACCTCTATGGTGTCTTCAATGGCTATGATGGCAACCGAGTCACCAACTTCGTGGGTCAGAGGCTCTCTGCAGAACTGCTGCTGGGCCAGCTCCACGCAGACCACAGCGATGCTGACGTGCGTCGAGTTCTGCTGCAGGTAAAGAAGCTTTGAGTGGGAGCAGCTCCTGCTTCTTTCATTACCCACCTCCTCTTTGCCATCAGGGGAACAGCATCTGGTTTCTGTGGGGGTTGGAAACATCTGGTGGTTGCAGTTGCACTCATCCTGAGCATCTGTAGTGCTTTGTTTCACTCCTGCCTCATCCCATCTGTCCCCTGGCTCCGTCAGCACAGTGCTGAGAGCTCTCCAGGAAGCTGCAGCCAGCCTTCCCTGGACGTGTAGGAACAAGTCAGCCTGGGAAGGAGATGACAGTGATTGAAGGGGAGAAGTTAATGTGTGGGGAGATGGATTTGTGAGTGTGCTTTCTTGAGTGACAGGATCAACACACAAGATCAGATAGGTCTCTGACATTGCTGTGAATGTAATTTTTATGATGTTGTCTTCTGTTTTGAGTTGTTGCAGATTGTTTTTACAAGCTGTTAACTGGTTGTGCTGATACAATTGTTTCAATGTGCTGTAGTGGTCCTTGAAAGTCTGTGTGTACAGTGATCATCCACTCTTATGAGCTGGTCTTAGAGAGGTGAGGACGAGTACCCCAAAGTCTGTAGGCATCAAGTACGTGCTTTGTTTCTCTTTATGGTCTTTTTTAGGCTTTTGATGTGGTGGAAAGAAGTTTCCTGGAGTCCATCGATGATGCCTTAGCAGAGAAGGCCAGCCTGCAGTCTCAGCTACCAGAGGTAATGTGACCTTAAGGGCAGAGCTTGCTGGAGGTCCCACATTCCAGCTTGCTGGGTGAGGTTTGGGCACATTAGTCAGTTTGATCCAAGGGAGGCTGTAAGTGAAAGTTACTTCTCCATGGTTCTCTTCTGGAGGCTGGCATGAGGAGCAGCAAGTGCCTTGGTCCATTGCCCGGAGTTCCCACTGTTGGTACTGGCACTGCTCAGACCTGACATTGGTCACCTGAGCAAGGAGCTGGGTGTATCACAGAGACGAGTGCAGCCTCTGCATGTGGCTCTTCCAGGACAAAGCCATGCAGATGAGAGGAAAGGCCTCACATTTGCATGGCATCTGGGCAAGTATGGGCTCTGTTCTTCAAGTGTACTGGACTGTCCTCTCCAGAATTATATCAAAGCTGTGTCATTCGATAGGATTGAACAGAAAATTTTATGTCTTGTACAGGTATGACACAAGGCCAAGGCATGTCAAGATGAGTCCCCTCCCTGCAGAATTTTTATTCCACCTGTGATTTCTGTGTTGTGGACTGTGTGTTTAAGCTTCTCCCTCATTTTGGCTTCCAGGGTGTCCCTCACCACCAGCTCCCTCCTCAGTACCAGAAGATTGTGGAGAGGTTGAAGATTGTAGAGCAGGAGATCTCTGGAGGAGCCATGGCTATTGTGGCTGTCGTTCTCAACAACAAACTCTACATCGCCAATGTGGGTGAGTTGGTTTTTGTCAGTGGCTCAGTCTCAGCATTCCTGAGGATGGCAGGGGCTCCAGGGAGACATTTGAATGTGGGGGGCAGTTTCTTTGGTGTGTGGCCAAGCAGCAATATGCTTGCTGCTTGCACAAGCACTTGAAATCAGCCTGATTCTTCATCCCTGCAGATGTTGGTGCGTGTGGCCAAAGAACAGAGGGAAAGCGGGTTGGGAGGAGGAGTGCAGGTTCACTGTGAAATAGAGAACCTTCCTGGGAGGTAGCAGCTCAGGTCTGGATGGAGAGCTGCCTAGCAGGCCCTTACTATGCTGCTAGCAAGGCTGCTTTTTGGAGATCATGATGAGACAGTACATGAGCCTTTCTCTTCTTTTCTGTCTTTATTCCTGTCTCTGCTCCTTTTCCCTTTGGATGTGTTGTCCCTGTTAACAGCAGAGCTATCTGGTGCCTCATCTCGCTGCTCCCACTGCAGGTACCAATCGGGCACTGCTGTGCAAGTCCACGGTGGATGGGCTGCAGGTGACTCAGCTCAACGTGGACCACACGACGGAGAATGAAGATGAGCTCTTTCGCTTCTCTCAGCTGGGTGAGTGTTTGGGTTTCATGTTCTTAGCTAAGAACATCGCATGACTGTTTATCTGGGGCACCAAGACTGACTCAAGCCACAGGAACAATAAATAACCACAAAAAGAAGCTTACTGTGTTTTCAGGTGAGAAGGTCAGGGCCTTCTTTTTGGGCCTTTTAGCCATTCTGGGGCTACAGGGTGAGCAAGCTCATCTCAGTGACCCAGCAGAAAACTACGCTTTTGTTTCAAGTTTTGAGTGTTAGTTTTGTGTCCAGCTGCCAGAGTGGCATTGATCTGCCCTCCAGCTGTTGCTGCAGTCGATAGGAAGGCAGGAGTGGAAGCACAGAGCCAGAGGGTAGGAGTGAAGCAGACAATGTATGACGGCTCCTGTGGAGGCAAACTGCAGTTTATGCTGCTTTAAGTTCTGTGTTATGCCTCACCCTCAGGATGGTACATTTCAATTTGCCTTTGTACAAGCTGCTGCTGAAAAAAAGCAGCTTCACTTCAGACAGAGCCAGGCCAAGCACTGGCATTTACTTCTCTCACATCAATAACTACGGAACTCTTAATGCTGACATTTTGCTTTAGGCAATTTCTCTTTTCCTTTACAGTGTTTGACATGTTTGCTTTCTCGGTCTAGAGCTAACCCAGACCACTTGTGTGATTGCCAGTACCAAATTCTTCTTATTGAGATACTTGGGTCCTGTACTTTTATTTAGGTAGATCTAAGGTGGCATTCTTCATTAGATTCACCTGGCAGATATGTTCTTATCAGGTGAGGCTCCTGATGTGGTAATTTCTGCTACTAGGTCTTTTATTCTATTTCTCTTTCATTCCCATTCTGCTCCTGCACTAGGGATATGTGCTGTGAAACGGAACACTGAATACAAGAATCCAAGGAAAGAGACTTTTTGAGTGTTTCTAGTGCCAAAAATGCAGAGCTTATCTGCAGTCCACAGGAGAACAGGGATCTATTAGATGTACCAACCTTAACGTGGTGCAGCACTGGTGCTCCTGCCTACAGTCCCAGCAGAAGGAAGATCCTGTGGAACAAGGCAGTGTGCACAGGCTGTATAGGGGCCCAAGGGAGGTTGTTTTTGGGCTAGGTTGAAGCACAGTGATAAGAGATAGTGGGGATAGCATTTGTCGTGATGGTGCCTGTGCCACCCCTGTCTTGGGGGAGGGGTGGGAGAGATCTTGTGATGTTGTGATTCTTCAGCTGGCACATCACAGCTTGTTCAGTACCCTGGGAGAGTTGCTGTGATGTAGACGTGACTTCTCTTGGCGTCCTGTGAGCCTCCCTGTGTTTGTGTCTGTCAGTGGCATGCACCTCCCTGCCAGGAGCTGGCAAATGAGCCAGGCCATGTTGATGAGTCAGCTGAGGTCTGCAGCAGATGGAGGACTTGTGTCTTACTGCTGGGGTAGGTGTGGAGCCATCTGTGCAGCAAGGCTTGGTTTGACTCAAAGGGGGAGTTTCAGCTGGACCCCTGCCTTCCCCTTGTACTCAGGACAGTCATCCCTAGATTAAATCTCAGTGTTTTCTGGCTGATAGCTCTAGGTATGAGGAAAGGGGGGTTGCCAGAACAGAACAGATAAGGGGATCATCTCTGCTACAAGTCCTGCCTCAAACAGCAGCAGCACTCAGATGGTCCCTGTTAGAACTTTTTTCAAGGTGGGATTACTTCTTAGGCCCTGTATCACCATAAGTTTATGTATAGAAATACTTGCTTGATCATTGTTGTTTTAGGAGTAGCCACGTCAATTTGAGCACTTGAGCAAATTCAGTGCCTCTTGTAGACAGCTCTCCTTTTCTCGGGATCACAGCATGGGTAAGGTTGGAAGGGACCACAGTGGATCATCTGGTCCAAGCTCCTGCTCAAGGAGGGTCATCCCTGAGCATATTGTACAGGTTCTTCAATATCTCCAGTGAGGGAGACTCCACAGTCTCTCTCTGCAGCCTCGTGTGTTAGTGGAATTGCCATGTGGAGCTTAGGAGCAGGGGTCAGTTACAGCTGGAAGAAAAAGCAGGATCTTTCACATATGTTGTCCTTGTTCCTGCCTTCTCCTCCCATCACACAGCCCAGAGCTGGCAGGTGCAGGTGTTCCCCTGCCTTTTCAGCAAATGCCCGTGCAGCCAGGCCAGCTGCTGCTGGTGCCTTTGGACCAGGATGTGGACTTTGCCTCAGGGCCAGCTGTTGCATTCAGATTATGCCTGTTTTGCTGTGTGTGTCTCCCTCCTTCTCTCTTCTTCCTAGCTTGGAACTAAGGAGAAGGTGTCCCTTCAAACACAGTTACTCCTTTTCTCCATTTAGCTCCTGATGATTCTTCAGAGTCTCATTTTGTCTTACAGTTCTGTGTAACTTGGATATTTATTTTCTCAGAGGAAGTTCTGCAAGTTTCACAAAGTTAGTGAAGCATTTTTGGTTTTCAATCTGACAGGCTTGGATGCAGGGAAAATAAAACAAGTGGGAACTATTCGTGGGCAGGAAAGCACTCGGCGCATTGGAGATTACAAAGTCAAGTACGGCTATACCGATATTGAACTGCTCAGGTCAGAAAAACTCAACTGTGGGCTTTCAAGCTCTCCTTTTCTTCATGATCACTCCATTCTCAGCTACATGTCACCCTTAAATGCCAAATTACTGTCTCCTTCCAGTGCTGCTAAATCTAAGCCCATCATAGCAGAGCCTGAAATCCACGGAGGGCACTCGCTGGATGGGGTGACGGGCTTCTTGGTGCTCATGTCAGAAGGGCTCTACAAAGCACTGGAGGCAGCTCATGGGCCTGGGCAGGCCAACCAGGTGAGTCTGCTCACAAGGGAAACATTCCCGTGGATACTGACTCACTCCAGTGGTGTCAGCTGCTCTCATACAGGCTGTCCTCCTCATCTGTGCTGTCACTGCTGGCCAGGCTGAATGCCTGTGCCACCCCATTCCAGTCTAATAATGTGGGAGTTGCTTTGCCAAGCCCATTCTTCTTGGCAGCTGCCTGTCCCTTAGGAGCAGCTCATTAAAGGGAGTGGGATGACTCAAGGCACAAAGGCACATTATCAGCAGGTAAGCATCACAGTCGGATGAGTTGCCATAAAAACCCTTAGATCAGATGGCAGGAAAAGGTTTCCTCCAAAATCTCCTAGAAATCTTTCCTTTGGTGATTTTTTTTTTCCCCTTCTCTGCTCAGGAAATTGCAGCCATGATAGCCACAGAGTTTGCCAAGCAGACGTCGCTGGATGCTGTGGCACAAGCAGTGGTGGACCGGGTTAAGCGCATTCACTGTGACACTTTCGCCAGTGGCGGGGAGCGGTCCAAGTTCTGTCCCCGTCACGAAGACATGACGCTGCTTGTGAGGAATTTTGGGTACCCCCTGGGTGAGATGAGCCAGCCCACGCTGACACCAACACAAGGTGTGTTGGGGAGAGAATGAAACAAAATGGGGTGAGGATGATAAGAACTCTTGATTGATCCAGCCCTCACCTCACACTGGGAGAGGAGGTAGTTGGTGTAGAAGGAATTTTCTTATTAAACAAGATTATTGGCTTTTGAGTTGTGGAATCTGTGACAATTTGACAGGATACAGTACAGCATCAAGGGCACTTTGATACAAATTCTTGGGGTTTTTTGCTGCTGTGCTGCACCTGCAGTTGCTCATGTCTGAACTGCATTTTATAGCTTCTTTTTTTTCCCTTCTTAGGAGGCCGTGTCTACCCAGTCTCTGTGCCATATTCCAGCTCCCAAAGCACAAGCAAGACGAGTGTCACGCTGTCTCTTGTCATGCCTTCTCAAGGCCAGATGGTCAATGGTGCTCACAGCAGCTCAACTCTGGACGAAGCCACTCCCACCCTCACTAAGTAAAGTCCTGCTCTCTCGCTACCCAGAGTTTTCCCTGCACCTCACACTGCATAAAGGGGTTGAAAAGCAGAGACAGCTGTCAGTTACCTGTCAGTCAGTGCCTTATCTGGAGTGTGCTCCCCCCACTACAGCACTGACAGCCAGCATAACGTGTTAGCTGGAAAGAGATTTTGTGAGGAGTGGGAATGAGTGAAGCAACAGCTCTGAAGCCAGCTCTGGCAACATGCCCCGGGAGCAGCATCTGCTGCTGTTCATGGAGGGCATTCTGGCAGGGAGCAGCCCTTCTCTTTGGACCTCGTGTGCCAAGTGTGTTGGGTGTTGTGCACAGAGGGAGTGTGGGCACCCTTCATTGCAGCAAGGAAGAGGGATTATGCAGGTCACCTGTAAGGCTCTTGGAGAGGCTGTGCTGCTGAAGGTGATTTGCTTACAGGCACTGCCTAGGGAAAAAAAAATCTGGATAAAGGTTAGAATTGGGTCCCCTTTGGATCCAGTCTGCAGGGTCATACTAGTTAGTGGCTGTGGTTTAGGCTGAGCCCTTGGCACAGCATGGCGTGTACACGCTGCTCAGTGAAGAAGCGCTGTGGGTATTGTGCTGTGTAGCTCCAGAAACAATGAGGCTGACGCACTGGAGCTGCCTTGGCTGCAGCACAGGTCATGCAAGAATAGCTTTCCTCGCTGCCAGACTCTTCCCGTAAAGCTCATACTGTTCTGGGTATGGGGAGGCCAGCGGAGTGCATGCCTGGTTTTTTCTGCTTCCTCTCTGTTCCTCAGATGCCTGGTTGTACTTAAGGCCTTCCAGTTAATGTGAATCGGATTCCTTTGATGTTTGTCAATTCCAATCAGTTCTTAACACTTTGAGTGCTCTCATAGAGCGAGTGACTGTAACTTTTTACCTGTCTGCTAGGACAGCTTGATCTGTGGAGAAACTGGTGCTTGTTCTGGTGCTTTTCTTGCCAGTGCATCAGGTGGAGTAGAATAAAGATGTTTATGTTCTCTCTTTCTCCCCCCTTAGCCAAAGCCCAACGGTGACGCTGCAGTCGACCAACACTCACACGCAGAGCAGCAGCTCGAGTTCGGACGGAGGTCTGTTCCGCTCCCGCCCCGCCCACTCGCTGCAGCCCGACGAGGATGGCCGTGTGGAGCCCTACGTGGATTTCGCAGAGTTTTACCGGCTCTGGAACATGGACCATGGCGAGCAGGGAGCACTGACTGTGTCCTAACTTGTGTCTGCCTCCTGCAGACACCCTGTGCTCCCCTGTGTGAGCAGAGACTGAGGCAAGGGTCAGAGTGTTCCACTGAGGGCTGCCTTCTGCCCACAGCTAGCTCCTGTCCAGGATGTGCTGCACGCTGTGCAGGGGATCTTGTGCACTACACACGTGTTGCCTGTGCCCTGCTCCCAATCCTGCCCAGCCCTGGGAAGCCCTGTGGATAGGGGAAGGGGTTTTGAATGCAGCCCTCACTGCAGGTTTTAGCAAATAAAGGTGTGGAGCGGGCTCCTTGTGGATGCTGCAGGAGCCGGGCCCGTGCCAAGGCTGCGTGTGTGCGCGTGTGTAGGTGTACACGTGTGTGCCTGCGTGTGTGTGTGTGTGCTGTCATAATGTTTCCACAACTCAATTCATAATGCTGTGATTCCAGTGTTCAACTCCATAGAAGATACCTCTATTTTGCAGAATAAATAACTTATAGCTACAGTCATTGGCACCCGTGTGGCTTGCTCTCTTCCTTATAATGTCGTGTGTGGGTGTGACAGCTCCTCCTGGTGAAACCTTCTGTTCCTCCTGAACTGAGGCTTGCACCTTGCAGGAGGAAAGCTTCTGCTGAAAAAGTGGCCTGAAGCCTTAAGCAGGTGACTTAAAGGCATAAGCTCTTTGTTTACTTACTTGCTGAGCGTTGGCACTGAATTATGGCTTAGAGTCAAACCATAAATATGGGTTATTGTTTTTTGTAGGTAAAATGCATGTTTTTTCCCTTAATGTAGGCCATCTGGAAAGGTGTAGGGGGCAGGTGGAGTTTGTAATGAAGTTTCCCTGTACAGGCAGCTGGTGGTGCACAGCTGGCAGTCACAGCTCCCGTGGTGCCTGGAAGATGCAGATGGGCAGCCTCGTGTCGGAGCGGGGAGCTGTGCAGCGAGAGGAGGGTCCTGCTGCCTGCACACCGCCGGGAGCCCGGCCTGGCGCTGCTGGCCGGGACGTCGGGATCACGGCAATCCTCCTCTTCAGTTCAGATTTCTGACGGCAGGCGGCAAGCGAGGCTCTTCCCTCCCGCCTCCAGCCGTCCCCTCGAGCCTCCCGGCTCCCTGCAAACCCGGAGGCCTGGGGGGTGACCCGCGGCACCTGGTACCTCTGGGGCACTGCAGTGAGGCACCAGGCAAAGCCAGGAGAGGGCTAGAGGGGATCAGAGGAGAAGGGGCAAGAGGCAGGACTGGCCGGGGTTCTTCCCTGCGTTTATATTTGCATCCAGCCTTGTCACTTTAGGAAGAAGTGGAATGAGAGGGGATTAGGATGATGCAGCACGGGATGCTGTCATTAAGGCCAGTGTGTAGCCAAGCCCTGAGGTGAGGTGCGCAGGTTTGAGGCACTTGTGGCACGCCAGCCTGGAGAGTAGGAGAGGAGGATTTATCCCTTTGGATAAATTAAGCAGCACTGAGTGCCCAGAGGCAAGACCCGAGCTCACTGAGAAACATGTGGGCAGGATCAGAGCGGTGGGAAACGCCCGTTTCCTGGGAAGGCACGGCAGGGATCCCGTGTGGGTGTGGGTGTGTGTGGGTGCGCGGCTCCGCCTGTGCCCCTGCGGCTGCGGCTGGCACGGCTGTGCCCGCGGGGCTCCCTGCGCTGCCGGGCTGCCTGCAGACGCTTGCGTTTCCCTGCCCCGTGCCGTTCCCAGGAAGAATGGGTGTGCTGAACGTGCCAGCACAGGCACCTCCTGTCGAGACCCTGCCAGCCCTGCCAGGGCGGTGACGTTCCGTGGCGTGCAGGCAAAGGCAGCAGAGTGGCGGGAGGTTTGGTGCCTTGTCCCCAAGGCTGAACATCACAGGGGCTGGCAGTCCCTCAGCCCTGTCCCCTGCCCTTGCCTGTGCCCTGCAAGGAGCAGAGAGTTCAGGTATCTGAGCCCAGCCTGGCCTTGCCGTCCAGGGCTGCTCCAAAATGTCATTTGACCTGGGGGCCCAATCCTCCAGATGGTTGTGTGGCTATTTAACAGGACAGTGTGATCCTAGTATGGATTAAAATGAGTTGAAAAGGTTTTGTCCTATTCTGTGTTCCCTAACCTGGCACAGATCTCAATAGCTGTATAAACAAGTTTTTCTTGCTTATTCCCCCATCCCATTATCTCTGGTATTTGTGAACTTATACTGAGAACTGTTCCAATGGGAAATATTCCAGCAAGTGGATGCTCCAGATAAAAGTTTAAGAATTGCCAACACACTTATATAAAGCAGATCATGCAAAACAAACTGATCCTTAGGCATCATTACCAGTTTAGGAAGTACAAAAAAATAAAGTGGATAGGAGAGGGTGGATCACACTAAGCTGTGCCTGTACAGCCTCTGGGAACGAGATGAGGAAGGCAGGTTTTCTGTGCATGCTCTGTGAGCCATGGCTTAGGAGTCCAGGTCAAAGGAACAGAGTGAACATTGTGTACAGGGGCAAGAGGCTCATGAGCCAATATTGGTATTTAATATTGTCCCCAGGGAGCGAGGGGAAAGATGCAGGTTGTAACAACAGTGGAAAAACCTTCTCTCCCCTGCCCCTTTAAAATGAAGGAGTGGCTGGAAGAGGACAGACCCAGAGCGATCCCTAGAAACAAGAGCAGGGGCCTTTTTGCATTGCAGTGAAATTCAAAACCACTAGAAATGTAAAGACCTAGACAGAGAAAAACAGTGCAGCTATGCTTCACAGGGCTGCTGGAGAGAAGCTAGCACATTAAGATCTGAATAAGCAGGGTAAGTTTGTCTTACAGGCAGCTAATATTATTTTCAAGAGCTACCCCCCTGCAAGGCGAGGGTCAAAATGAGAAGTTCTATCCCTAGAATGGGAGTAGCAGGAATGCTTTGCATGTCCCTGAGCTCTGGTCACTTGGCTGAGGGTCATTGGAGGTGCTCAGGCCAGTGAGACAAGCCTTTGGATGCCACCTAAAACTGAGGTTCTCAGCATCTCTGTGGCTAAAGGATCACCAGGGACTTCTTTATTTTAAGCTCTCCATTAGCTGAACAGCACACCCATTTATAACAAAATCTTTAAATAGCAGAGAATAGCTAGGAAGGGTCATGGCCAGCAGTTAGTGCTCAGCTCCATTACATGGCCTGTGGGTAAGTCACACAGGGTTTGGGTTTTCTTCAGAAAGAAGCCAAGGCATCAGTTGAAGCTAAGACAGGTTATTTTTTCCCCATTCACTTTGTTGCTTTTGTCACACCTGAACTTTCCAATAGGGAAGAGGCATATGGTGAACAAGTGCCACTTGATGCCACCAATGCTCCCTGGATCACACAAGGGTAATGCAGCACCCTCGGCCAGAGTCCCTGCTCCCTCAGCCACCATGCTCGGAAGAGGAAGGAATGTGTTCCTCTTCCCTCTCCTCCTTTTTTTCCCCCCCACCACATTAAGGCTTTTAGTGTTAGGAGACCCAAGAGTTTGTGGCACCACTGAAAAAATGTCACAATTGGCCTGGTGTCTTCTCAGGGTGGAGATAGCCATAGCTGAAAGGCGAATCTGCCTCAAAGACATAAATATTGTTTAATTTGACAGATAATAGATAGTTTTTTATACACAAAATAATCTGATTTTTCCTTCTTCAGAATGTCTGAGGAAGGGCTTTAGAGTAATCCTGTGCAGTTCATTACTCAAGTGACTCACCTTTCTCCAGAGAAGAGCATCACTGGCACCCTAAAACATCTATGCCCTTAAAGTGAGTTGTAAATAAACCACCAGGGATGGGTTAGGTATTTTAAATCCTATAGCTCTTTCTGTAAGCACAGAAATTCTATTCAGAGCATTCTGGCAAAAATTCAGCATGAGTACTTATATTCTGCCAACTCCAATCCCCTCCTGGAGTTTCAAATGGATACGATATTTATCTTCACTTTCCGTCTTAACTATTGTGTGTTGTCACTGTAGGTTGCTAAACAACTGCTGCCTCATCGGTGGCTGCATTTTGCTGGTGAATAAAGTGAGCCCCATGTGCCTATGAACCAAAAAGCTATTTGGAGCCCTTGCATAAGAACCCCAAGATACGTGTAAGCTGTTAATATTTATTATGTGGAGCTGAGAACATCACTGAAGATGGAGGGATTACAGTAACTGAGTTCAGGCTGTTGAGCAGCCAGACAGAATGAAAGAGAAAACAGATGCCCTGAAGGAATAAGAGCAAAATGCATGAGGAATTTTCTGCATGCAGGATTAGACTCCAGTGGAGCATGGAAAGAAAAAGGCTGGAAATGCTCCAGAGAGCCAGGGCAGATAGGACAGAGGCAGCACTACATCTTCTTGCTTGAGGTGATTCTTCCCCTCAATGCTTCCCCCAAGCAGGCAGCAGTTCACCCATGGGCTCACTGGGGTGCAAACAGCAGGAGCCTGTGAGAAGGTTCAAGGTGTTTCCAAGGCATGGGAAAGAGGATTCAGTCTTCTGGGATGTGCAATGCTTGGCCATTGGCCCTCTCACTGCTAGGTGTTTCAAGAGCCTTCTAAGCAGCTTTTTCTTTCTGTCTCATCTCTCAAAAACAGCATGACCCAGAAACCCTGCATTTCTTCTGCTAGTTTTGCCTGAGCTGGCCAAAGAATTTCTCTCTTCCTTACAAAAAACAATTGATGGTGGAGAACAACACCAGGCCCTTTCTGCAGAGCAAGGTCCTCAGTGAACCAGCTGCTTTAATGTCCAAAGGATTGGTGACCAAGAAAGCCACGACTCAGAGAGCGAGAGGTTCAGGGAGGGCAGACAACCCCGCACCTCCCACTTGAGAAGTTACAGAAATGCCTCTGCACAAAACCCTTGTGGTTACTACAGCACTAAGGTGGCCATCACCCACCAAAATATCTTGGGAAGCCACTGTGGCTTGTTCCAAAGGCAGCCATAAGCCCAGCCATCCAAAACTGAGGTTCCTTGAAGTAGTTGGGCATTTCCAGACACACAGCTCCGAGCGTTCCCAACCAAAGTGAAAACGGGCAAAGGCAGCAGCCTCCAAACTCTGATGAGAGTTGGTTGCTTTGGAAAATTCAGGGCTTCTTTCAAAGTAGTGGGATCAAAACAGAGCTGTTAGTGGTTTCGTGCCTCAGAGATTGGGAAAGTCCCTGACTGCAGCAGCTCCAGCTGGCGCTGGAGCACAGCAGGTAGCTGCTCTTGTTTGCCTGTGAGCTCGGGGCTCCTCCTGCCGTGTTGGTGCCGGAGCCCCTCGGCGCCTGTCTCGGCTGCCAACCTGCCCAGCACAATGGCCAAACCCAGTGCATCCATGCCCCTGAGGCAGCCAGGCAGGGTCCTGCTCACACAGCCAGGGAGAGGGATATCCCATGCACAGGGGCAGGGCAGAGCCCCAGGGCTTTGACTCTATCCCATCTCCAGACCTGCCGTGCGAGGGCCACCGTCCCAGGAAAGGGACACCTCTGTGCCTAGTTTTAGGCAAAGTGGAGCAAACCGGCTGGGTCACCCCATGTAGCCTTGGCTAAAGGTGTGGTGTGGGTGCTGCTGCAGGGTGGATGTGGGGGCAGAAACAGAAACTCATCTCTGAATGACTTGCCAGGCGCTGCTCGTTGGTTCAGCGTGGAGGATGGCCCCAGTCCTGCAGACACGTCTCATGTAAGGAGAGAAGGGGCTCATCCCTCTCTTTGAAGCAAGAAACATACAGAGAAGCAGCTTCAGAGCTCATCCCTAAAACACTTACAGCTCTTAAATGCAAATGAGAGTCAGGCACTAAGGCAAAATAGGTTTTGATATGAATTCTTCATCCAGGTAGTTCAATAATTTACTGAACTCCCCACCCCTTAATCCCAATGCATTCTGGAGCCAACTCTGCTTTTTGTTATTGTTCCTGTCATTAGCTCTTCCAGGATTTCTCAGCTGCTGCATTGAGGAATAACCAAAATAGCTCCACAAGGGACTTCTTGGAGATCTGAAGGCTTGAAACAGCAACAGCAAAATAACAAAAAAAGGAAAAGAAAAGAGAAAAAAAAAGGCTAGATGAGAACTGGAAAGGTGAGGAGACAAAACCAACATGCAGTCAATAAAAGCTTTCAGAGAAGAGATAAGAGCAACAAAACACAGAATGGCTTACTGCTTGCTAAAGGTGTGATGGGAATATGAAAAGCACTTTTGCAAATGTCTGCAGGGGAAAAGAAATTAGAGAAGTGTAACCATTAGTAAATGAGTATGTGAGTGCATTATTCATGCTTGCAAATATCTGAACTGCAGAAGTGCGACATTTTTGTTTCTGTCTGCCTTTAGTGGCAAATTTAAGAATTTTGGATAGCAAGGATGTAATTAAGACCTAGTAAAGCAGCTTGTGCCTGCTGCAGCAAGCAAGGAACGTGGCAGCCTCCCTCCCAAACTCCAAAGGGCTGTTCACCTGCATGAAGTGACTCTGTTTGTAGAACTGCAGCTCGATTCAGCATGAAAACAACCCAAAGAGATATAGCACTTAGGCAGAAATAAGGTACAATATTCAATGATTTAGCTGAGGCACATATTATCTGGTGCTCTTTACCACAGGACTTCAGTTTTGGTAAGTCACCCAGGTCCTGCGGCTGCCTGGCACCGAGGGGCCCTTGCTGTGATCTCCTTGGCCCTGGCAGTGTCCCCTGGAGGGCTGCAGGAGGACACGCCGTGCCTGGAAGCAAGGTGGGCGGCCGAATGTGCCTCAGATGC